CACCAGTGGACCTGGAAAGCAGGCCACACCTACAGAAGAGGTTCCAAAATTTTTTGAAACCCACCACTGGTTCCGTGGGTTGATAGTCCTCCCAGAAGGACAAAGAACGGGGGCAGGAATATAAGTTGAAGCGCTTATGGAATATCCACAATCACTGGATTATGGGTTTCGTGGTGTCATCCCACCTGAGACGGTTCAGATAGGTTGGACGGCTGTATGGAAACAGGACTAGCAGAAGCAGGTTGGATGACACCATAAATGGTCTGGAGGTCAAGCCAAAATGGCTGAAGTTATGCGTTAGTAAAGTCCGCACCACTTTTAGATGCCTGCAATGGTCTAGGGCTTCCTACTTGAGCTGGCGGTTGGATTAGGAGACCTCCAAGGTCCCTTCCAACTCAGTTCTTCTGAGAGTGGACGTCCACACACCTTAAAAGTTGCCAAGATTTGAGGTTGAGAAACTCTAAGTTAGAGGGACTAAATAATGTTCAGTTTAATAAAGAGAAGACCAGGGAAGAGCTGGTAGCCATCTCCCCACTCTTGAAGGATGACCATAGGGAAGAGGTCATTGATTTATTCTCCAAAGCACCTATAGATAGGACAAGGAGCAACCTGGGAATAAGGAGGAATTTCCTGACAGCGTCAAAGGTGAATTAATTAATCGACTTGTCTCCTAGAATTGTGGTTGCTCCATCAGGGGAGGTTTTTCAAGAAAAGTTTGGACAAGCAGTGGTGCAGGATGGCATAAGAGCAGGGGGTTGGGCTAGAAGACCTCTGAAGTCCCTTCCAGGCACCCCATGAGTCTATGATCTACTTGTCTCATACAGCAAAGAAATGCAGAAAACTCTGTTCCAGATTTATTTTTCCCCAGCCTGATCTGGTAATCAGAGATAAAAAGCCAAGTGGGATTAAAATTAATCAGCGGGTATGTTAGACTGCATAAATGGGACAGACAGAGAGAGAGAGAGAGACAGAAAGAGAGGGACGGAGAAAAGGAGGGGTGGAGAGAGAGCGAGAGAGAATGAGGGAGAGAAAGGGAGAGAGAAAGGGAGAAAGAGAAAGGAAGGAAGAGAGAAAAAGAAAGAGAATGAGAGGGAAGAGAGAGAGAAAGAGGGAACAAAGGAGCAAGGGAGAGAGAAAGAGAGAATGAGAGAGAGAAAGGAAGAAAGAAAGAAAGAGAGATAATGAGAAGAAGGAGAGATAGAAAGGAAGACAGAGGGGAAAGAGAGAGGGAGAGAGAATGAGGGAGAGAGGGTGAGAAAGAGAAAGGGAGAAAAAGACAAAAGAAAGAAAGAGAATGAGAGGGAAGAGAGAGAAAGAGGGAACAAAGGAGAGAGAGAGAGAGAAAGAGAGAATGAGAGAAAGGAGAAGAAGAAAGAAATAGAGAGATAATGAGAAGAAGGAGAGATAGAAAGGAAGACAGAGGGGAAAGAGAGAGGGAGAGAGGATGAGGGAGAGAGGGTGTGAGAGAGAAAGGGACAAAAAGAGAAAAGAAAGAAAGAGAGATAATGAGAAGAAGGAGAGATAGAAAGGAAGACAGAGGGGAAAGAGAGAGGGAGAGAGGATGAGGGAGAGAGGGTGTGAGAGAGAAAGGGACAAAAAGAGAAA